ACTTAGGTTTTAAGGTCTGTCAATTCTCTTTTTCCCCTCTAAGTTTTACTTTTCACATTTTGTTTTTTCTCTCTATTCTTCTTCCCCTCTCTCTTTCACTCCCTCTTTTTCTAGGTATGTCTATATCTTTACATTATTTTTTCCTCTTTCGTTTTTTCTTTGTCCCTTGCTCGCTCTTTCTAAATCTGTCTGCCTGTTTGTGTTTCTTTTTTCTTTCTCTCTCACTCACCCTCACTCACTATTTTTCTTTGTATTTCTGTATCTCCACCTCTATTTTTCTTCTCTCGTTTTTTCTTTGTCTCTTGCTCTCTCTGTTTAGTTCTTTGCCTGCTTGTGTATTTCTTCTGTCTGTCTGTCTGTCTCTCTCTCTCTCTCTCTCTCTCTCTCTCTCTCTCTCTCTCTCTCTNTCTCCTTCCGTTTTTCTTTGTCTCTTGCTCTCTCGGTTTGCATGGTTGCGTTACTTTTCTCTCTCTCTCTCTCTCTCTCTCTCTCTCTCTCTCTCTCTCTCTCTCTCTCTTCCACACGCTGACTTTTTCTCGGTATTTCTGTGGTGCTGTCTCTCTCCGTTTTTCTTTGTCTCTTGCTCTCTCGGTTTGCATGGTTGCGTTACTTTTCTCTCTCTCTCTCACTCTCTCTCTCTCTCTCTCTCTCTCTCTCTCAACATTCAGTACGTCTGTTTTTATTTATTGTGTATTTATATAATGTATACTGGATGAATGTAAATAAGCCAACAAGAAAAAGAACATTATAATAATGCAAAGCTTTGGGTTCCTCAGGCCATATAATTTCACAAAAGTTTTCTGTTAATTTTTTAAAAAAACTCACAGCGCTTCTCAAAACAAGAATAACCAGAATCTTTCTCTTCTTTAAATTAAGTTATTCGTAACACGCTAGGGACTTATTTTTAACTGGTAATTCTTAGCCTTCTGCATTCTTCCGAAAATGGCAGTTTGCACTCCGCTCCGCCGGTCCGAGACAAGTCATTAATTTTCGACACTCGCGAACCGCGAAGAGGCCGTTTTAAAGTCTTCCATCAAGTCCTCTCGTGCTTAAAAGCCCGCGAGCGGAACGTGAGAAAAGGACGTCGCGTGGGCGCTGTCCTCCTCCTTTTTTCACCCACTATCGCAATTACCGTAAGATTTGACCGGGTTGAAGCAGAGGTGGAAGAATTTTATAATAAAGTTTAATCAAACGGAGCCGGCCTTGGAGAGTTCGTTTGCCCCTCGGCTACTATTTTACAGGTGAAACCTAGACGCAAATTTTCTTAATTTAATGATGAGGACAAAGAAAAAACAGGACCTCCAAGGTGGCAATTTATTTGTGGTCGAGCACGTCCGCAGTCCGCTCCTTTCCCAGGTCGGCTCGTCAACTGGTTCTTTTTTTATATCTTTTGCCTTTGTCTAAACATTGGCTTATTAAAGACAAGCGGATTTTCTTCTCCTTCCTTATTTCTTCTACCAGAAATTATATCTAAAATAGGAAGAAGTGTCATCGATCCTTTACTGGAGTTCCAGTTCGGACGGCTTACGGACTTGCGATTGCAAAGAACTGTACTTTTCTACTCTTAAGATGGTAAATGGTGACAGTTAACATTAAGTTATTAGATTTGTATAGTAAAATATACAAAAAAGATAGATAGGATTTATAGGTACATAAAAAGGATAGATAGAAAGAAAGATGAATAGATAGATAGAAATGGAGGGAAAGAGAGTGAGGGAGGGAAGAAGGGAGGGAGGGAGGGAGGGGANTATATATATATATAGAGAGAGAGAGAGAGAGAGAGAGAGAGAGAGGAGAGAGAGTGAGGAGAGAGAGATAATAGTACATAATTAATTGAGTAATTATAAAATTAAGAATAAGTTGATAAAAATAATTTAAAAAATATGTAGAATGTCAGTTGTTTCAGGTTTGTTTTTGTAGTTTTTCAACATAGACTGATAGTTACAACAAATATAACGAGCTATGATTGTCAAAAACCCATGCAAGAAACCGTGTAATGTTAAGTTTTTAGCCCAGAAAATTTTTTTTTAGACTTATCGGAAGAATTTGTGTAAATTGTAAAAATGCACATGCTTTCAATAGACGATCATTCTTGAGTAATTAAGTAATTAAGTTGTACTGGTGTCTGTTCCACAGTATTAACCGAAAAAGTATTTCCATTTGTCAATTTAGATTAAAAAAATATCAAGTCTTCCGTGGCATTACTTTGTTTTTATTACGGGCTTTTCGGTCTGAATGGCACATCTTCACCAGCCCATGTCTAAATTTAGTCATTATCGACGAACTGGGTCCACATTCCATAACTAGAACCGAACTAACGCCACGGAAGACTTGGCTATTTTTTACCCTTTCTAAATTGGCAATTGGTATGTATTTTCTTAACAAAGATTTTTAAGAAGTATTAGCCAGCTATGATTGCCTAAAAATAATTTAAAATCGTCGTTTACTATTTTTGGGAAGAGGTTTTCTTTACTCGTGATGATGCAAGTCTGCGATGTCTTGTATCATTGAATGGTCTGATCATTTGTGATCGTTTTTAATTTGGTCATCATCAACCGATGAAGAACTCTTTATAAGAAGAAGAGTTTCTTTAGCTTTACAAGAGAGGAGATGAAGAGCTCTTTACTTGTTTTGTTAAATTTAATCAATGTTTGTAAATCTCAAATCTCAGGCCCTGAAGATGATCTCAATAAAGAAAATGTTTTTCTGAAACCTACATCACACCAGACCGCATCTCACGATATCTGAATAATCATCGACTAACGGTCACTAATCACCACACACTTCTGAACTTAGCAGAACAAGGACGATGTTTCTCGTATAGCATCATCATCACAAATTTTCCTAGCAGTCTGAATTTTTTTCCTTGCGTAATAAAAAACAATTAAATGACTCAACACACCATTTTCCTCCAATATGCAAAAATATCTTAACTAACTTTTTCGGAGTATGTAAACAATAATGTTTAAATAAACCTGCTCGCTTTCTTTAAGGATCTAAGACCATACAATCTTCCATCGTGTTTTGCATATATAAATTGCCCCACTATTTCACATTTTAATCCAATGAGAAGCCAGAGCAGCAGCCTACAGGCTCATAAGTGGACAACCATTTGCTAGGATAGGCCATGTAAATAAACAATGGGAACTGAGGGAGGAGATACAGGCAGATGCCATTCTAGGTATGCCGATTGATGCCACTACTTCAAAGTACAATTTCACCAAGAAGTACGAAGTACTGATACCGGAAGGGGAAGAATGGGCCAAAGGAACACCACTAAAGGCAAATTCCTATTGGTATACTGACGGCTACAAAACCGACAAGATTACGTGATCTGGGGTCTGTGGGATGAACCCCAAGCCCGAACTGACGGTAAACCTAGGCAAGTATGCTACAGTTTTTCAGTCTGAAATCATAGCGATTGAACAATGTGCCAGATAAATAAAAAGGGTAGGAATACATTCCCGGTAGATAGCCATTTTATCTGACAGCCAGGCAGCTCTCAGGGCCTTAGCCTCATGCGAGGCGAAGGCAAAGAGGGTTTGAAACTGCTCGGAGGCCTTGACGGAAGTCAGCGGCACTAATGACCTGACCCTGGCATGGATCCCTGGACCTTCGGGGCATAGAGGCAACGAAAAGGCTGACATGTTGGCCAAAAAGGGAGCCAACATGGATTCTATGGGCCCAGAACCCTACTGCAGCCTAGCAGCCTGCCACAAAAGAGGATACATCCTAAAATGGATCCTTAATGAATCCAAAACCTGGTGGAACAATACCACAGGTATGACCGCGAAGGACCATCCAAAAAACTTTCAACAGAATTACCGGAAAGCAACTGCAACCGAACCAGGATTCTAGTTGGACTCCTGAGAGGCACTGCCACTTAAGAAAGGACATGCACCGCATAGGAGTACAGACAGAAGAAACACAGTGCAGATACTGCCAGGAAGAGGAGGAGACCGCAGAACACATTTTATGTTTCTGTGAAGGTCTATGTAGGTGCAGGTTCTTGCAACTAGGACAAGAAAAACCACAAGCAAAATCCTACACCAAGGAGCCGCTGGAAAAGATGTGGAGGCTGGTTAATGACCTGAAGCTTGCCAATGAGTTATAAATAATAGAGGAGCACGACAGATCTTCCTAAGACGAGGTGCAGAAGCCCTTGTGGCCGCCTCATCGCTATCTCTATCCCTAACCTTTTCAGAGTATGTAAACAATGTCTAAATAAACCTACTCGCTTTCTTTAAGGATCTAAGACCTTACAATCTTCCATCGTGTTTTGCATATATACATTGATTTCTCTATATGCCGGACATGGTATTTAGTCTGAAAGTGTGTGTACATGAGTTAGCCACGTCTTCTTCTATTCAAATCCGCTAATGTCCAGCGTCTACTAATCTACTTGATACTCTATATGCTCACTGACCGCACTTATTATGCATTTATGTTAGAATTTTCTTACATTCGATAGAAGTTTAAGCATTTGCATATTTTTATTGTGAAACATGCTTCCTGGAAAATTTAATGGCACTTGGCTTCCATCGGATGCCCGAGGGTGCGTCAAAATTCGACAATTAAGATCTATTCAAGATTGCTCTAATCAATAAATCAATAATTGTGTCTAGAAGGAATTTTTCAGCGTGTGGGATGGTATAATTTACGCTCTGATATGAGACGCAACTATGAATACCAAATATATTCAACAATTGAGGTTCTTTAAAAGAATCACCAAAACTTATCACTCATATTTAAAGGATGATATTTGAATTTATGCTGAAATACTGTCTGCAATTTTATATGGTTTAATTTGGGCGTCAACATGGACATTGTAACTAGTAGTATTGCCTTGACCTAAAACATACTCCTGATTTAAAGAAACAGCGAAACTAGGCGGACGTGGATGATCAGAGGCCTATCTTAAGCCACATACATTTAGTTTATGTGTCAATGAATTATAAATTAAAGTCAGTCTAAATGGTAATATTTTTTTCTGCTGACAGTTGCTGTTCATAGCAGTTCCTGCTGTTCTTTCATTTCCTCTGTCCCAAACGCCAGTGCAGCAAAACAATGACGGCTGGCTGTCCTACTTCAACTGGGAAAATCAGGTGAGTTATCTCTAATTGTATTTTGCGAAATAAAAAGAGATCTGCCCAATGTTACTGTTCGCAGGGCCCTGGCACTTATTCTTTCGGCTACGAGATAGAAGACCCGAAGACGGGCAACGTCCAGTTCAGGCACGAAGAGAAGTACCCGAACGGGACGGTCAGGGGCAAGTACGGCCTCGTCGAACCGGACGGCAACGTCAAAGTTGTACATTATACCGCCGACGAGTATGGCTACAGGTGAGGGATAGTTTCAAATAATTTTTAGTAAAATGCTATAAATGCCCGAAATTTCAACGAACCGTTTTTACCGGCTTGCCTGGTTGTCCAACTTGAAAATTGGTTCCCTACGACAATATCGTCCGCAAAAGACAGTGGATAAGGATCGACCACTCCACTAACAGATCCGAAAGAAGGAGATAGAGAACGAGAGTGAAAAAAGTGAGATGGAGAAGTGAAGAAAAAAGAAAGCAGGGAGAGTGAGAGAGAGAGAGAGAGTGAACAGAAACACACAAATAGGCAGACAGAAAATTGAACAATGTAGAGCAAGAGACAAAGAAAAAATATGAGAAATGAAAAAATAGAGGTGGAGATACAGAAATACAAAGAAAAATAGTGAGTGATGGTGAGTGAAAGAGAGAGAGAAAGAGAGAGAGAGAGAGAGAGAGAGAGAGAGAGAGAGAGAGAGAGAGAGCTAGAGAGAGAGAGAGAGAGAGAGAGAGAGAGAGAGAGAGAGAGAGAGAGAGCTAGAGAGAGAGAGAGAAAGAGAGAGAGAGAGAGAGAGAGAGAGAGAAAAGAAACACACAAACAGGCATACAATAATTAGAAAGAGAGAGCAAGAGACAAAGAAAAAACAAAAGAGGAAAAAAAAGGTACAGACATAGAAATACCTAGTAAAAGAGGAAGGGGGAGAGGGATAGAGAGAGAAAAAAAACAACAACGTGAAGAGTAAAAATTAGAGGGGAAACAATCAGACAGGTCATTAAACACAAAGAAGAGAGCGAAAGACAAAGAGTGAAAGAGAACGAGAAAGAAGGATAGTTGAGAGAAAAAAACAGATAACGAGATAAAGAAATATAAAGAAAAAGACAGAATTAAGAGAGATATAAAGAAAAGAGTGAGAGAGAAAGTAAGAAGTGGAGAAACACAATGTGAAGAGCAGAAATAAAAGAAGGAAACAGAGAATTAACGGGAAAACAGGCAGACAAAGAATTGAACAGAGTGAGCGACGTCAATGAGAAAAACGAGGGAAAGAAAGTGAAAGAAGATAAATAAATATATAACAAAAATTATCACCAGAAAGAGTAAGTAAAGAAAGAAAAAGAAAGAAAAGACAGAGAGAAAGAGAATAAAAACCTAAGTGAAGAGAGNAGAGAGGAGAGGATGAACAAAAACACACAAACAGGCAGACAGAAAATTAAACAGGAAGGGCAAAGGGCAAAGAAAAAAGTGAGGGAGACAATAGATACAGAAGCACCGAGAAAAAATGTGAGTAAGAGAGGAAGAAAGAGAGAGAGAGAGAGAGAGAGAGACAGTGCAGATACTGCCAGGAAGAGGAGGAGACCGCAGAACACATTTTATGTTTCTGTGAAGGTAGGTGTAGGTTCTTGCAACTAGGACAAGAAAAACCACAAGCAAAATCCTACACCAAGGAGCCGCTGGAAAAGATGTGGAGGCTGGTTAATGACCTGAAGCTTGCCAATGAGTTATAAATAATAGAGGAGCACGACAGATCTTCCTAAGACGAGGTGCAGAAGCCCTTGTGGCCGCCTCATCGCTATCTCTATCCCTAACCTTTTCAGAGTATGTAAACAATGTCTAAATAAACCTACTCGCTTTCTTTAAGGATCTAAGACCTTACAATCTTCCATCGTGTTTTGCATATATACATTGATTTCTCTATATGCCGGACATGGTATTTAGTCTGAAAGTGTGTGTACATGAGTTAGCCACGTCTTCTTCTATTCAAATCCGCTAATGTCCAGCGTCTACTAATCTACTTGATACTCTATATGCTCACTGACCGCACTTATTATGCATTTATGTTAGAATTTTCTTACATTCGATAGAAGTTTAAGCATTTGCATATTTTTATTGTGAAACATGCTTCCTGGAAAATTTAATGGCACTTGGCTTCCATCGGATGCCCGAGGGTGCGTCAAAATTCGACAATTAAGATCTATTCAAGATTGCTCTAATCAATAAATCAATAATTGTGTCTAGAAGGAATTTTTCAGCGTGTGGGATGGTATAATTTACGCTCTGATATGAGACGCAACTATGAATACCAAATATATTCAACAATTGAGGTTCTTTAAAAGAATCACCAAAACTTATCACTCATATTTAAAGGATGATATTTGAATTTATGCTGAAATACTGTCTGCAATTTTATATGGTTTAATTTGGGCGTCAACATGGACATTGTAACTAGTAGTATTGCCTTGACCTAAAACATACTCCTGATTTAAAGAAACAGCGAAACTAGGCGGACGTGGATGATCAGAGGCCTATCTTAAGCCACATACATTTAGTTTATGTGTCAATGAATTATAAATTAAAGTCAGTCTAAATGGTAATATTTTTTTCTGCTGACAGTTGCTGTTCATAGCAGTTCCTGCTGTTCTTTCATTTCCTCTGTCCCAAACGCCAGTGCAGCAAAACAATGACGGCTGGCTGTCCTACTTCAACTGGGAAAATCAGGTGAGTTATCTCTAATTGTATTTTGCGAAATAAAAAGAGATCTGCCCAATGTTACTGTTCGCAGGGCCCTGGCACTTATTCTTTCGGCTACGAGATAGAAGACCCGAAGACGGGCAACGTCCAGTTCAGGCACGAAGAGAAGTACCCGAACGGGACGGTCAGGGGCAAGTACGGCCTCGTCGAACCGGACGGCAACGTCAAAGTTGTACATTATACCGCCGACGAGTATGGCTACAGGTGAGGGATAGTTTCAAATAATTTTTAGTAAAATGCTATAAATGCCCGAAATTTCAACGAACCGTTTTTACCGGCTTGCCTGGTTGTCCAACTTGAAAATTGGTTCCCTACGACAATATCGTCCGCAAAAGACAGTGGATAAGGATCGACCACTCCACTAACAGATCCGAAAGAAGGAGATAGAGAACGAGAGTGAAAAAAGTGAGATGGAGAAGTGAAGAAAAAAGAAAGCAGGGAGAGTGAGAGAGAGAGAGAGAGTGAACAGAAACACACAAATAGGCAGACAGAAAATTGAACAATGTAGAGCAAGAGACAAAGAAAAAATATGAGAAATGAAAAAATAGAGGTGGAGATACAGAAATACAAAGAAAAATAGTGAGTGATGGTGAGTGAAAGAGAGAGAGAGAAGAGAGAGAGAGAGAGAGAGAGAGAGAGAGAGAGAGAGAAGAGAGAGAGAGAGAGAAGAGAGAGAGAGAGAGAGAGCGACAGAAAAGAGGGATGAATAGTAAAAGTCTATCAGCTTAAGTTAAAACATACTTTATTTTGAAGTTTGATCATTTGGTCTTCGTATTCTCACTGTGGTATCATAGGCCAGATCAAAACCCGATAGGCAGAGCAAAATGATCAAAAATTACCAAACTGCAGGCTCTTCACCTTGCATATCATATGATGAAATATCACAATACTTTATTTGGTTCAATCCAGTACAACTTACTAATATGTAGTAAAAAATAATGGCAAATTTTTAAAAATATTTATTTAAATTATATTAAAAATTATTTAACAACATTCGATTGTTTTGTTTATAATTTATCACATTTTAATAACAATTTTCTGTGAACAGTTTGCTCATAAAAGTGATTTTATTTACTCCTATTAATTTAACAACACTATTGTGCCTTTAGGTTTTCAATGCGATAGAGAAACTTACCAATCTCAATGCTTTCAGGGCTAGGGTCGAGGACAGTTTGAGAGGAACCGTCAACCTCCCGTCACTGGAGACACCACTGTCGTCAAGCCAAGGTGGTCAAGGCGGATATTCACCGGAATACGTCTCCGCAGTCGGCGCAACAAACACGCTTGGGCAGAACGTCCAAGAGCAGCACACTCCTCCTAAATATACCGACGGGCAGTATTACGGAAATTATTATGTGAACCAGCCTAGTTCTGGCCAATATTACGATTATTTCTTCAGATCTAGATAATCTCAGATTTATTAAATTAATTTTTTTTCCATTATTTAAAGTTTAAGTTGCTCAATTAAGTTACTAACATTTTTTTTCTATTTCCACTAGATTTTTTGTGTTTGTAGTATGTAAAATTTGCTTTTTAAAATCTGTTAATTTATAATAATTTGCTTCTAGATTGGAAAACTGTGATATATATTTATTTGAATTATTTACTTTTTAAATAATTTACTATGTCAGTCAGAAATATGTTCACATTAAAGGAATCAATATTTGCAGTTTTTACAAATAAATGAAACATTAAAATTTCGGCATTTTATTTTTTATATTTGTACTTATTCATAAAATTAATTGATTGTTTTTTATAAACTCAACTCCGCACACATGCACATATGTACTGTGTCAAATCTTTAACTGTTGATTCTAATTTTTGTTCCCAGAGCATTTCTACCTTCTATTTGCACAATGAGATGTCCAAGGAGGAAATAGAACAAGCGATTTTAAATTTAGATACTAGAAAATTATCAATGGAAATCAATGAGGTGCCGGATATATTCCTGTCATTCTTGTTACTAATTGTGTACCATACTTCATTACGCTATTTCACTACATCCTCAGTAAATCTCTCAACAAGGATATTTTTCAACAATTCTGGAAATCAAAAAAATTACGTACTGTAACAAATATTTGTTACTACATTATTATTTTCATATCTTTTGCACAAGCAAAAAACTCCATAGAATAGTGAAACAGGCAAACTTTTTTTTTTTTTTTTTTTTTTTGGTGGGGGGTAAATTAGCACACAAGGTACGAAAACATAAAGGACATGGAAGGCATGAACGGTGACCATCATGGAAGCCGTTAGTTCTCCAATATGAGCACTAACAATTTTTCGAAGGATTTTAAATTTTAGGGTTTGGACTGTAAAGATTGGAACGCTTAGCAGTTTCATACAGTCCATATGTCCATAAAAAGAACTAGTAGGTCGGTGAAAATTTATAAATAAATTAATAATAAATACAATAAATATTTACATTTGAGTATGAAATATTATAGTATGCCACAGGTACTATTGAAATATAGAGGAAGGAGGGTTTTTTTTTGTTAAGGGCGAAAACAATATATTTTGATTTACTTTATTAACCTTGATTCTGCATTGGTGGAGTGTGTAAGTGATTTTGTAAATTACATGAAGCTGGGATTTTTATCGGAGGTTTTATTATTTTATTGGTATGTCATCAGTAGAGACCAGATTTTATGCAGTTGCATATTCTGTTTGCCACCACATATGTCCAATCTGAATTGTGTTTCTAGGAAGCTGTAGGTTAAATTTTATATAGCATGTTTTTGCATATTTGATGAATACCACGTAAAATTACATATTTGAAAGTATCTAATATTTGAAGGAGTTTTACATAAAATCGCATTTATCATGCAAAGTATTTAAAATATTATATTGGTTTTTGGGGGAAGCATAAAAGAAAAAAATGTAAAAAAAAATAAGTTGGAAAAAAGTTGGTTTAATTTGAAGAAAACTGAAACAGGCCACAACGATGGAAAAAGAAGATTTTAGCAGTACTGACAAAAGAATATAAAACCCGTTCATAGGTCTTATTTCAATAATCAATATAATCACAAATTTTAAGTGACCATAGGCACAATTTCAAGTAAGACAATTTAGAGAAGTACTTTAGTTACTTAACATTAATTATACACAATTAGTATAAAATACATAATTTGATTATGTAACTGGAAAAATATTTTTGCTAAATGTAAACAAACTCTAGGGGGCGTCAGTGACATGGTGCTCATAACTGTAAAGTTAAGAAGTAAAGTTCCCTGCTCAAATCCAGCGGCCCTGCATTCGAACCGGACCTACTTACAAATAGGCTTTTTTTCCAAAAACACCGCCACCCTGAGGGTTCAAATAACCTTGTAGTGGGGGGGGGGGGAGAAAAAAAAAACAACTTCTAAATACTTGTGAATTTTAATTATTTTTAGTTTTAAAGTTTTAATATCTATTTCGTTTAATTATCTATATTTCTGTTTAAAGTTACTATGATTAAAAAAAAAAAAAAATTGGTTTACTGCCTATCCATTGCATATTTTAACGTATTAATACTACATATTATTGCATATTTCTGGGCTTTCAACTGCACATTTTGACCATCTTTACTGCATAAAAAACCGGTCTCTGGTCATCAGCAATGGTAAAAATAAAAATGTTAGGGTGAGTAGGTAGAACAGCCGTGTAAATAGGAGGGGAGCAAGAATGCTACCCTGTGGGAATCATGAAAATGGAGTTGAAAGAAGTGTTTTGGACAGTTTTGAAGAGACTATAAGGCATGATTTTAGTATAAGGTGATAGTAGGATGATCTTGAGCTTCTACAGAAGCCTCGGGTGCCATACCCTAACAAATGCCTGTGATTTGTCCAGGAAGTCACTAGAGCAGTATGGCTTCAGTTTGAGGGCAGTCTGAGATAAACAATAAATAGTTAAAATTGAGGTATGGATGTAATTGCAGATTTGTATTGTGATTTATTCACCATGAATTGATCAACGTACGATCATATATTTGGTAGCAATGCAGCAGTTATTATTTTATAAATTATACCTATTTTTTTTTGTATTTTTGGTATTTCAACTATGAGGTTATATGATGCTCAGGGTGCTGGTGCCCATTTATAAGTATGGGTTCAAATTCAGACTGCTTGATTTCTAAAACCCGGGAGTCAACGTCCTTAATTAAACCTTAACCACCGACACCCCAAAACATAACTATTTGTAGTTTTAAATTTCACAATGTCAGGGTTGTAATAAATACGACTTTTGGTTTTAAATGCGTATATTGATATTTTTTTTATAGGTGACACATATATTTATTTGCCATGTACATGTGGCAAGCCTACTCGAAGATGATTTGATATTTTAAGCCGTATTGTTTTATAAACAGGCCATTATCCATCTTGGAAAAATCAAATAGAATAACTTAATTATTATATTTTATAATAAAATATAAAAATATTTATATATATTATAAAGGAAGGTTAATATATTGCACTCTTTTTGTTCTTTTATATAAGTAATAACAATGTTAGCAATTAAAATTGCTTTAAAAAAAATCTCCTAATATAATAAAATATGTAAAATAACATGAAAATAAAAATATATACTTCCTCTAATTAAAAAGAATACTGAAAAGTTAAAGTACCTTGCATGTCCATTATTTTTAAAGCCACACAAAGGCAAACATTTAATTATATAATATAATTTTCAAACATTAAACATCGATAATTATTTGGAGCGACAGCCCGTACATAAATGTAGATATGTCAAGTTTAACGGTTACACACAAATGTGGCCCAACACTTGTAAAATCACAAATAACCTGGTATTTCTTGTTTTCTCCCAGCACATCTATATATAACACCAAATTATCGTATTTTACATTTAAAAATATTATAAATTAATCTAAATAAATAATTTGGTTATGTATGGTTTGGAAGACGAACTACCTTGATTTTCGGCTTCAGGGTGGGTATTTTTCTTTAATAAATAAACGAGATCTGACAAATAATACTGTTTGTGTTTTAAATATATTATAATTTTGACCTATTAACGTTTCCTTTGGGATGGGGTATCATACAACAATTTTTTTTTAAACTTCAAATAATTAATAAGACGAAATATTTAAATTGTCTTAACTATTATTAAAAAGTGGTTCATAGTTTTTACAGCCAAATGCTAATGCAAGTAATTTTATTTTGTATATCACAAAACATAAAAAAATCTAAATTTTTTCAGTCGTTTTTTATTTCCTCTATCCTATGTTCTCCTTGTGTTCTTACAACTGGGTTCTTTAATAAACCGGCATACAATTCAAGAAATGATAAATAACAAAATACACTTTTTTTAAAATACACGTAAAATATGTCTTTGGAAATGTTTTAGTTTATTTATACGATTATGCATTTCAATGAACGGACTGGTAACGCGGGGCAGGGACGGGGATTAGATCTTCTGTCGATGTTTGGGACTGCTCGTTGTCAGATAGGAAGACCTGTTCCTGGCCGATCAAAGCCCAGGACTGGACTTTGCCAGATGCAAGGAGAGCGTAAAATGCAGCACCGATGACGTATACAATGGCCGAAAAATAAAGAATCGAATGCCATTCTTCAACAGTCTACAAATAACAATAAAAAATTATAATTTTTAATAATATAATATGATATAAAACTCTTACTCCTTTCTGAACGACATATCCAGTCACTATTGGGCTTAAAATACCAGGTAGAGTGGCGGCTGTATTTGATATTCCCATAAGAATGCTTGCATACTGAGGCGCAATGTCCAGGTGGTTCACACTATAATAATAAATCAAAATTTAAATCTCATGACTTTCATAAAAGTAAGTGAGTTTTGAAGATAATTTAATATTACCTAAATCCAGCAAAAGCCAGTCCTCCAAAGCCGACGGCGACAGTCAGACAAGTGATAATTGACACGGGAGTCGTCGAATGTGCTGTCGCTATAAGAAATATCGACCTGGTTAAAAAACCGGTGCATGTAAACATCTTGCGAACTTGCATCGTAGTCAAATTGCCGGTGGATCTGAACCAGTCGGCCATGAAGCCACTTGTCTGGACGATTATACCCATAGCCAAATACGGCAGGGCAGCGAGGATTCCGGCCCTGAGAAAGCTGTATCCAAACACATCTGCAATAGGAAAAACGCTCAATGTCCAGGTCAAATTAATCTTGAGGTTCTTTTTTACCATCCATATATGTCGGCAGGCCTGTGAGAAGGGTGTAAAAGCCCCAGTTTTCAGTGGTATGCGCTATAACTATAGCCCAAACTGGCCAAGATTTGAAAATTTCTTTCCAGGGAACATTCAATTTCTGTAACAAAAAGTTTATCTATTTTTTTTATATTATCTATTTATCAATAGTAAAACTGTGAATTAGTATGATTTAGATAGTTAATTAATTTTTAAAATTTCACCATGTCAGTTTTTTTTTTTTTTTTTTAAATCGCTCCTACTTTTCCTGAGGGAGTACAAATCATTGGCACTATATTAAATTGGTGAATATGGATTTCCACACTTTTCAAGAGAGTAAAGTATTTAATGAATTTTTATTTCTAATAATTTAATTAGGCCTCATAAAGTGAACAAATGTGGTTAATTGTTATTTAATTTCTTTTACAAGGGTATATGATCCCTTGGGGAGTTGGTGTTTTTGAGAAAAATTTTTTAAAGTATGTATGAGTAAGTATACAGGGTTCGAATGCAGGGCTGCTGGATTCAAACCCGAGACCTTTACGGTGATGAGCACCGTGTAAATGCCTCAACCGTTGTGGCCACTGATACCCCTGAAAGACTTAAACCTTAATTATCTAAGGCATTTAATTCAGATAAATGAATCACCAATTTAAAATTATTTTCTTACAATATTTATCAAGATAATATTAATGGTGTTGTAATTCATGTTTTTCATATGTTCAAAATTGTGCTGCATTAAGACCAGCTTCTTATTGGAACGTTATTTTTTTGCCAACATTGGCGGTGGATCAGCGGGTTCCGGGTTCATTACGTCAAGAGACCTGCTTGTAACTATGTTATTTCAAATAAATTTTAAAATTCAAGTTTTTTCTTCTTTAGATGCTGAGGTCCCAGAACTGATTATTGTAAGTAGTCTGAGATTTTATTCTGACATGAAAAGAATAATACTAAAATTGAAACTGCCTGTAAAAGAAGCCTATATAAGAGAAAATTGCTTGATTGATTTTAAAGGTTTTGATGGACAAATTTCAGCAGAAGTCTGGGATTGGAAAAAGTATTCTTCAGGTTTAAGAATAAAAAGAATACATGATCAGTCGTGGCCTCGAGGGTGCGTAGTCTTAAATCATGGATTAGTTGGCACCTAATGGCTTAACCATGGTCAAATGCAAATTTCACATATCAACCTTGTAAAATAAATCCTTTATAAAAATCGATAATAAACAGATTAAAAAAAGAGCATTCAAATCAGTCTTTTACATTTGGGAGATTTTCATTCAAGAATAATTAATTTGAAATTTTACTACCACTTTGGTGTTCGAGTTCAAAGAATCTTCAATATACTCTTTTTCTGTATCGCTGATCCTTTTGTCCGATCCTGGCGTTTCGCTGACGACAAGCAGCCAGATGACAGTCCAAAGGCATCCAATGGCGCCTATATTTAAAATGAGCTCAATTTACCATTCGATACTTTACCATAAATTATTTAAAAAAAAATAAATAAATAAAAAAATAAACACTAACATGCTTAAAACTGAAAATACCACCAGAAAATAACACAAGCCATAACCGCCAACCCTTCAACCCCAACAAATATATTTTTGCATAACTTAAAAAAAAGTATTACATGCATGGCGATAAAAGCAAGAAAATGAGGTTAAGTACAAAACATGCAACAATGGACACAATTAAACAAATAGAAATGGTGTTGTGCATACCCACTTCTTATGGTTTAGTATCATGCTAAATTTGTTAAATCAAAATGAAAATATCCTAGAAGGATCAGTGACAATTAGTAAAAACAGACTTGCCGAAAACATAAAATATGGATGGCCATCCAAGACGTTCGGCTAAAGCTCCACAAAGGGGAAGAGCGGCAACGGTGCCGAAGTAACAACCTGAATACGATATAGCAACTAAACGACTCCGTTCCTCTGGGGGTGACCATTTGGACCAAACCCCATGCATACTAGGAAATGTTATTCCCTAGAAAGTCGTCCACGTTCACATAGAGTTAGAAATACATTTACGGAAGATAATAGAACAATCTATTTACTTCAAATAATCCTTCGACAATCCTGCCGAACACTAAAAGATATACACTCGTCCTGGCAAAGAATGGAGTTAGAAGTGTCAAAAGTGCAGTGACGCCGACGCCGATGCCGAACAGGTTTTTACCGCCGTACCTGCAGGCCAACCAACCTCCTATAATTTGCGTCAGGATGTAGCCGTAAAAAAAAGAACTAAGGATTACTCCATCTATTCCACTGTCCCAATCAAACTCAGGAGGCTGGAAAAAAAAAAGTCAATTAGATTTTGACCAATTTTGACCCATCAGAGGTCAAACCTCAACAATTTTCGTTCCATTTGGTAGATATGAAATTCTCTTGTCCTTCATAACGACAATCGCTACACTCAAATTGACCCGCATTGCGTAAATATTTGCAAAGCCGAAGAAAGACAGAAGGGCGACTAGGTATCGCCTCGGAAGCCATGATGTTTCGACTGGGCGAGTTCTAAAACAAGAATATTACATGTATGACTATAATTGTTTATTTACAAAAATTCTTGTAAAACCAGGAACAATGATCATCAATAATTTCTAAGAAGACATATGAAGTCAATTAAATGATATATTACAGGATATCTTTATCATTAGTGCAAAAGAACTCTTGTCAAAGATGTAACTGCCATATAAAAATAATAAATTATTAATGCCCTTGCTTATCTATAGCTCCTTTTGTGAGATGGCACCTTGAGGTTTGTAAAGCGATCAACTGGAGTTAAGTCAGTTCTGTCTTACAAACCAAGAAAGCAGTGAGGACAAGACAGATGACAATTATCAAAAATGACCAAACAACCATTAATTTTTGATCTTAACATTATCATTTTCCCTATTTTGTTATTTGAAGATGGCCTAACATCCAAATAACTATAGGTGTTGTGGATAAGATGTCAAAAATTTCTTTTCAGAATCTAATCAGCTAGTCATTTTGTGCTTTTTTTATTAAGTTGAAGTTGCGTTTTTCAACTTGTTATGTTACTCTTTTGTCCACATTTAGTGTGAATATTTTGTCTGAGTTTTTTGCTTTGGTGGTTCACTACGTTTATTGTCTCATTTTTATTAGTTTTGTTTGTTTTTAATTGAATTTTTTTTGCTTTTTTAGTAAAGTTGGGTTTTACAACTTTTGTTATGTTAATTTTTTGTTGACACTATATTTGATGTTTCCTTTTTATGAGTTTTGCTTGATTTTTTTTTTTTTTGTGTGCTTTTTATTAAGGTAAAGTTGTGTTTTACAACTTTTGTTGTTATTTTTTCTTTTGTCTGTTTAGTGATAATATTTTGTCCAATTTTTTGCTTTGGTTATTCACTATGTTTATCATCTATAATTTATGAGTTTTGTTTGATTTTTACATTGATTATTTTGTGTGTGCTTTTTATTAAGCTTAAAATTCTGTTTTACAACTTCTGTACTGTTGTTCTTTCTTTTTCTTTTGTCTGTGTTTAATGTGAATATTTTGTTCAATTTTTCTGCTTTGGTTGTTCGCTATGTTTATTGTCTCTTTTTTTATTAGTTTTGTTTGATTTTTTCATGGATTTTTTTGTTGCCTTTTTAAAATTGGATTTTTCAACTTCTGTTATTTTTTTGTCTACATTTAGTATGAATATTTTGCCCGATTTTTCAGCTTTGGTCGTTCATTATGTTTACTGTCTTTTTATTTTTTATTATTATTATTTTTTTAATATTTTTTTTTTTGATTTTACACTGACTTTTTCTTTTGCTTTTTTCGGAAAGTTGGGTTCTTTTTTTGAATGTTTTTTTATTAAGTTAAAGTTGGGAAATAAATTTTACCCAGGACAAAAAGTTAATTACTAGATTAATCCCATTCCTTTTTTTTCATACTGTCGCCACTTTTTCCCATTTAGCAAAAAATTCCTGCATTTTGTTCAAAGTAATTAAAAAAAGTCATGATACAACATGTAATTTGCTGATACATAAATTTACAACTATTTACATATTTGCATTGAGGGGAGCAAATATTATTCTTCTGCTTCACTTCATTAAGTACAGAGTGATTGACTACTTGTAAGTAACATAAAGTTCATAAGAACAAGAACATCATAACATATCATAAGAAGAACATAAAAACAAGAACATAAGAACATCATAACATAAGAAAAACAAGAAATGAAGAAGTCATGAAATTTGCCAAGCTCTACCTTCAATCTTTACAACAAGGTTGCAAATTTTTTTTACAAATTTTAAATTTGTCAGTTTTTGAAAGATTTAGTAGCTTTTTTTTAACCAAAAAATAAATTGAAAATTCTAGAAGGGTGCTTCTTAAAGGAAATTAAATGCTCTTTTCAATTTTTTTTCTCCCATAAATGAATAGTTAAAGAGCTATGAGTAGATTTATGATGGAAACTATAGATAATTAAAAAAGAAGTTTATTTGGAGATCATGGGATGCGGTCTGGTGTGACGTAGGTTCAGAAAAACATTTTCTTTATCGTGCCAACATTTTGATCTTTATTGAGATCATCTTCAGGGTTCAAAGTGCTTGTTTTCTGTGTTGATGTGTCATTCTTGTGTGTCGTGTTGAGAGAGCCTCTGCACAAAAAAATAAAGCGTTGAGTCTTGTACTTGTAGGATTGAGGTGTACCTGACGAACCTTATGTTATTTACAAGTAATCAAGCACCCTGTACTTAATGAAATGAAGTAGAAAAATAATATAATTTGCTCCCCTCAATACAAATATGTAAATAGCTGTAAATCTATGTATCAGCAAATTACACGTATCAGAAATTAAAGATTATAATAAAATATTGAAAAAAAATATATTTATAAATATTGCTTGTTATTATGTTTTTCTTTGTTTCTATTTATTTAACAATTTTGTTGCTTATTTATATAAATGAATAAGAAGTTTGTTTATTATTCTGTGTAACAAGTTTTTTTTGCTGTGTATGTTTACACTGAGTTCTTATCAGTGTCTTATCTTGTTTACTGTCAAACACTTTTTCTCTTGTTAATTTTGATTTTTTAATCACTGAAAGACACTTTGTTTGGTGAAGAAGGGGTCTAAAATGAAATGGATTGTTAAACAAATAGGACATATGTTAGTTTTGTAAATTTAAAAAATGAAATTCAGATACCTTGTTTGGTTGAAAGTCTCGTCTATTATCCTTTCTTCCATTGTCACTAGTTAAAACTCTTGAAAGCCTGAAACTTTTAAATAATGTTTAAAAAAACAAGAGTAAAAACAAGTATTTTTAAATAAATAGGCATTGGTGTGGATTGTTAATTTTTTACAAACATATTGTATTATGTGGTATGATTGTTGAAATTGTAGACGCCTTGTCCTTTACCTAGTTTCGTCCCATTTAGTTCCTCATTGTCTCGGCTCGAAAAATCCGTCGAAAATCAGCCGCTCGACATTAGTCCGACATAAATCCGAGGCTTTTCGTCGAAAGGTTAACGCGGAACGAAGCGACGACAACCACCTGACAGCTTCTAGCGACGGGCCACGGTCGAAGGCGGCCGACCTGCGCGCTGCAATTCGAAAGCGGGATGACCAGCACGGAAGATCAAAGAGAAAATGGCAAAAAACACGGGAAGCGGCACATCGACCCTCCTGCCACGTGGGACTTCCTCGGCCTGGTCAACGATGAGACGGAGGCCGAAATCTTGAAGGAACGCTTCATCAGGATAATGGCATCGAAGATGTTCGTCTTCAAATACGGCCCGTACGAATTCAGAGGTCTGATAGCACACAGGAAAAACAGGATTTTAGGACTGGCGAGTAAGAGTTTTAACACTTTTAAACCCACGTGCCTTTTTAAGAATCATTTCCTTCTAAAAACCTACACCTGGAGGATCTTGAACTGTTTTCATTGAGTATACATCAACATGATGATCACAAAGCTCTGTTGTGCCAGCAGTCAATAAGTTAAAGATGTTTATTCATGATTTGTCATTTTGCAGGACATCTGTTGGTTCATTGCCAATGTTAATAGTTGATTGTTGCTGAAGATAGTTACTTTTGGTAGATCATCCTATGTTGGACATCTTTTTTTGGTTCATTGATAAAGTCAATACAGTTGATAGTTGATTATGTGAAGATTGTTACCTTTGGTAGGTCTTTGTGTATTGGACATTTTTTTGTTTATTGCCAACGTTACAATAGTTGCTTGTTGCTGAAGATAACTACTTACTTAGATACTTTTGGTAGATCATCCTATGTTGGACATCTTTTTTTGGTTCATTGATAAAGTCAATACAGTTGATAGTTGATTATGTGAAGATTGTTACCTTTGGTAGGTTTTTGTATATTGGACATTTTTTGGTTCATTGCCAATGTTACTATAGTTGATAGTTGCTGAAGATAGTTAACTTTGGTAGATCTTCCCACATTGATATTTTTTTGGTCGTTAGCAGAAGATTGTTACATTTGGTAGATCTTCCTGAATTGAACACTTTTCGGTTCATTGCAAATGTTATGGCCATTGATAGTAGTGAGCTGAAGGTAAACTACTTTTAGTAAGTCTTCTCATGTTGATATTTTTGTTCATTGTGAAACTGAAGACAGTTGATAGTAGTTTGCTGAAGATTGTTACCTTTTGTAGATCTTCCTATGTTGAACATCTTTTAGTTCATTGCCAAGTTACGACAGCTGATAGTAATTAGATGAAATGTTTTACGTTTGATATTTCTTCCCATGTTGATCTTTTTGTTCATTGTCAAAGTCAAGGCAGGTGATAGTAGTTTGCAAAAGATTGATACCTTTGATACATCTTCCTATGTTGGACATCTTTTGGTTCATTGCCTAAGTAAAGACGGTTGGTAGTAGTTAGCTGAAGATAAGTTGCCTTTGGTAGGTCTTCCTATGCTAATTTTTTGGTTCATTACAGAAGTTATGACAATTGATAATAGTTAGATGAAGATTGTTACATTCGGTATTTTTTCCCATGTTGTATATTTTTTGCTTCATTGCCAAAGTTAAGACAGTTGTTACTAGTTAGCTGAAATTTGTTACCTTTGCTATGTCTTCCCTCATTGGAAATATTTTTGTTCATCGCCAAATTTTTGCTGTTCTAGCCAGATAAAAAATTTTCAATTTTTTTTCTGTTTTATGTATTACTACTTTCAGTCTAAGATGGAATCAGCTAGTTAAATATTACAAGCAATGAAAGAACAAGATTATGCTTGTGATTTCAGTTTTATGCCATGATTGTTCATATTTACATCTTTAGATTTGTTGTAAATGTTTATTTTTTTTTGATAGACTGCAGGGAGTTTTCTTTACAAACTTGTGCACTGCGACCAATATTGGTCTACTGTGCAATGGCTGACACATTGCCAGGTATGTTAGAGTTGGCCAGATATAACATAACATCAAACATAATATAGCAGAATAAAGAGCAAAACTTGTTAAAAAGTAGCTTTTCATGTTTTGATTGTTCATAACATGGTAGTTAGAGATAGTTTATATTTGATTGATTTCTTTTGGCCAATTTTTTGTCCATTGGCAAAGTTATGCTTGTTGGCTGTCAGGAGAAGGTTGTTTATTTCTTCTAGTCCGTGCTTGATGGTAGTTTTCAGTGAACTTCTTTTGTATCATTGCAACACTTATGCTTGATAATTGCCCACCATTTTTGGTAGAAGTTCAACCATTGTCTTTTCTTGCCGTTTCCCATCTGGGTCATTGCCAAATTTATGCTCATTGATTATTATTATTATTGTTTTTACATTTCTTTCCATTGGACATCTCTTTCTTTTCTTTTTACTGGACATAGTTTTGTTCATATTTGGTTCATTCCTTTCGGTTGGACATATTTTGATTTTGACCACCAGAATATCTATAGATTCATTGCTACTCTCAGTTAAAGTCAGCCAGTCATTTTGTCAAGCAGGATGTAGGTAACACATGATCATATGGGTGATTAAAGGTTATTATATTATAAATTTATTATTATAAATATTATATTATAAAATTATCTGTTGATTGTCCATATTTATTTGGTTTCTCTCTTTTGGACATCTTTTGGCTTATTGCAAAATTTAACCTGGTTGGTAGTAATCAGCGAGCAATGTTCATGTTGAGTTGATTGTCCATATTTATTTGGTTTCTCTCTTTTGGACATCTTTTGGCTTATTGCAAAATTTAACCTTGTTGGTAGTAATCAGCTGAGCAATGTTCATGTTGAGTTGATGATTGCCCATATTTATTTAGTTTCTCTCTTTTGGACATCTTTTGGTGTATTGCAAAATTTAACCTGGTTGGTAGGAATCAGCTGAGCAATGTTCATACTGAATTGATGATTGTTCATATTTGATTAGTTTTTGGCAGACAACCTACAACAACAATGAGCCAAACATTGACCAATAGAGAAAAAATAACCAAATATAAACAATCATGTGCTGACTGCTAACAACAAGCATTAATTTAGATAGAATATATACAAATAGAAGAAACCAATGAAATAAGAAAATTTCAAACAGATTAAAAGAACAAAGTTATCCTTGTTGGAACATCATGTGGTTTATTCACGATTTTATACTTGTAACTATTGTTTGTTGGTCTGCCTGGTTTGTCTCAAAAAATTGAAATTTTTGAAAATTAATTTGTATTTTTGGCTTACTTAGTACAAAATAAATGTTGAAAAATATGATGGAAGTAAGAAATTACACTTTACTCTTCCCATATCCACTTGACAAGTCCCGGTGATCTTAAGTGGTTCCAGGCCTGTCTCAGCCAGGCTGCCATGAAGAGATACGGCCCCTCTCCTCATCCTGCACAACAAAATTCATCAGTATGGTAAAATTCCATCCAATGACGTAACATCCACTGATGCTTGATGGACAAAATATGCTTATTTTGAAATTGTTCAATGATGTTTCTGATTCTCAATAATAGCTTTTATGGTTTCCAATATATCCTGGATATATTATTTGTTATTATATTTTATTTGCATCAGTGGTAAATTAATTTTTTGTTTTATAGAAAAAGTTCAGACCGAGATTGGTGTCAAAGTTTTCCTCTTGCCGATCGACCTTTTCGACAGGCTCATAATTGAAATTAACGGTTTCACGGTTTTCACCTGCAAAATAACAAACATGAAATTCGACAATGACTGCCTTGATTACACTAGCGAACTTGGCTTTATTAAATGCCTTGAGGTGGTGAACAGTATAAAACGTGATATATTGAACGAGAGTGAACCCTGCGCTGACCCAATCGTTTTAATGACCAAATCAATATTTTGAGAAATAAAATCTAAGCGATCGCATGTGAGCACTTTAATTAATCTTAAGGTTTGTTTGGTGATTAATGATCCCCATGGTGGATGTTGTGGTTTAACAATAGTGGGTAAGTGTTTTTACATGTCAGTAATTGATAGTTATTGTGATGTTGAGGTTTGTTAGCTTATATTTTTTACTTAATAATTTATCAAATTGGATTTTATAAGTGGTAATATTTGGAATATATTAGTGTAATAATATGTTAAAAATAATATTAATTTTACAGTCATTTGGAAAGATTGACTTTTTTTTTATTGAGGATAAAGTAAAAGTCTGTCAAGTAAGTTATAATTTTATTACAAAGCAGGTATAATAAAATAAATATATAAACAATTTACACGTATAAATATCTGTTTACACATTATTCATTGATGATGCTTTCGATCCATTTGACGTAGTTGGCTACTTTTGAATAGACACCGTACTTTCCCTTTTTACCGCAACCATCACCAAAACTGGTTATGCCGAAGATGGTCCATCTCCCTGCAGAATCTTTACAAAGGAGTGGGCCGCCAGAATCTCCAGAACAGGCGTCCGTGCTTCCTTTGTGGTATCCGGCGCAGAACATGTTGTGTGTTATCAGGACTTTGTTTTTCTCGTACATCACCTTACACGTAAGACTAGATGCGATTGGCACCTGGGATTAATTAAAAAAAAAATTAATACCTACATAACAATATTACAAAAAAAGTATACTTGTGCTTCGTGTAAAATGTCACTTCCTTCGTCCTCATCTTTACTGGTCCGTTTACCCCAGCCGAGAATAGTGCAGAGCTTTTTTGTCGGAAGGCGTTGTTTCGCCTTGGGCAGGCAGGCGATTTTCGTGTTGGACTGCATCGTCTTATAAGAAGGCAGCATGAGCAGGGCCACATCGTTGTCCAACGATTCTTTGTCATAACCAGGGTGGATTCTAGATTTCCTCACCTGAATTTGGTTTTGATATTAAACTCATTTATTAAATAGTAGTGTTTAATTTGGATTACCCTTAATCTCAGCTCTTTCCCTTCGTGCTTGCCAAGATCGTATTCGCCTATGGTGACGTACAAACGTTTCTTAACGCAATGGGCTGCGGTGAGAACCCACTTTGGCGATACTAACGTCCCACCACAGACTGCATGCTAAAATTTGTTTAAATTTATTAATGGTTTGAAGTTAGGGGAAAATTTTTGATCTTATGCATCAATTTTGGTCTATGCATTTTAAATAAATACAAATAAATTTTAAAAATTATTTGTGTTATATGTGGTGATTAGTGACCGTTAGTCGATAATTATTCAGATATCGTGAGACGCGGTCTGGTGTGATGTAGGTTTCAGAAAAAAATTTTCTTTATCGTGCCAACGTTTCGATCTTTATTGAGATCATCTTCAGGGCCTGGGATTTACAAACATTGTTTTAATGTTTGTTCATTGTTAAATTTAAAGAATGTTTGTAAATCCCAGGCCCTGAAGATGATCTCAATAAAGATCGAAACGTTGGCACGATAAAGAAAATTTTTTTCTGAAACCTACATCACACCAGACCGCGTCTTACGATATTTGTGTTGTGTTGAAGGGTACTGCTTACTTTGTGACGATCGAGGACAGCGACGATCCATGGCCACTTTCCGTTTTGGCTCGGCTTTCCGCCCATAATTTTCAGCATATTCGTGAGATAAGAGGAGTGCGGGGTTGTAACGTTTGTGACGGGGATTCCGCAAGTAGACATCTGGTCGTTATTAGCTTCCAAAGCTACTTGTATACCTCTACCGCCGGCTGGCAATTCGTTATTAATAGGAGGCCCTGTTGGAGAATTCACGCTACCACCGTTCTCCAATAAATTAGCTGAAATTGAAGACCGAAAAAAATTTAGTAAATGGAAAAAGTAAAGAAAGGTAAATTACAATCTGAATTCCAGTCCTGAAACGGTATCGCGCTTTGAATCCATCCTTCGCATTCCGTCCCTTCCATGTAGCAATAAGCCGTCTGTCTTATGACTTCGTTTCCGCACACCTCCATCTTTTTGCACCACCTGAATTACAATTTGGGCCCGTTTAAAAAAAAGTCAGCAAGGTTAAACGTTTTATTTAAACAGAGAAGCATTACTTGCCGGTATCTTTGGGTCTGGCAGGATTTAGAGCAGATCGTCCAACGGCTCCATTTGCTATAGACCCTTTTCCTCGAGACGGACCTCTTCGGAAGCAGGTTCACACCCAACTTTTTAAAGTACTTGCTCGAATTGTTCAGCACCTAAATATACAATTACTTACACTCCACCCGACCGTGTCGAAAAAATACTACTAGACAATGTAAAGACATATTAAAAAATGTATAAAGATAACGACCAATACAGGTATGAAACAACATAGAATACTGTAATAATTTTTACTTATATGGACTCAAATAAAAACCAAATTGATACTTGACTAAATCCAGGGTCTACAAAAACAAAAATAAGCAATATTGTATTAAATAAGCCAACTAAAAAGCAGTTTAGGAATTTAGTCGATAAGCATGTCAAAAAAATCGATTTTATATGCAGATTAGAATCAAAAGATGGGAAGAAGTTTCATAACCTGTGATTGTTGGGCAGACAACAAACCGAAAAAACTTAATTTTAAAAAAGTCGGGAAAAATTCTGTTCTTCTATCTTTAAACTAGAAAACGAAATAAGAGAAATGCTGGAAGTTGAGGACATTTTATATCGGGTTTACCGTGGAATTTGGTCCTCCGGGCCGGAATGTTTATATAATATTTTATGGAGAAAGTTCAAAGAAAAAATTTACCACAGAACAACCCTAGATTAGAAAAGCAACACTTGTTGGAAATCATTGAATTTAATGAATTGGAAAATGATAAATTTGGCCCTCCGGGTCGGATTATCGTAGACATTGTGTCCTAAGGAAAAAAAAGTGAATTTTGCGCCTTTAAAGTTTCTATTCGAAACACTTTTTTCATACTATATTCGTAGCACGGATTTTTTCAATAGGAAATTTGGTCTTCCGGGCCGGATAATCGTTTGCAAGACTTTCCTAGGCGAAACCGAAGAAGTAATTTCAATGAAAGGATCTTTATCTGTAACGTAAATTTTTTGATTTACGTTTGTTTCTAGGCAAATAGACAGAAAAAAATGGCAGAAAGGAGGGAAAATTCAAAAGGTGGGCTGAGGTGGGAAGTTGGTGTCCGAGTGGATCGAACTCACGATAGCTCAAGTGGTAGAACAGCGGCGTATTTAGCCGAAGGTCGTGGGTTCGAATCCCGCTCGTGACACTGACTTTTTTCTTTCAACCAATGCCTTCCTTAAAGATTAATTAATTGAAAAGAAAAAAAAAACAAATTTTATCTTTGAAATAGTGTGATATAAACAAGCAATTTTTTTAAAAAACGTTCAATGATTTCCATGATAAACTTGAAAATAGCTAGATGAAACTGAAAAATGAAAATATAGATAAACTAAAATAAGAATTTGATACCAAAGACTCCTAGTTTGGAAGAAGTTAAGAATATTTATGGACAGTGGATGGAAAATTGTTCCGTGAACATCTAAAAACCAACAAATTTTCCTGGGATGAAAGAAAAATAAATAAAATTCAATTTACATTAGTGTATTTTCTTTTTTTACATTTTGTATTTATTTTTGTTTTAAGATTGGTTTTGTGCCTTTTTTTCGTGTACTGTCGGACAGAACGCCTCCAGATGAAAATTTAATGTGGTAGATGGTATTATTTAAAAAAACAAAAAAAACGACAAAAAACAAAACAAATGCAAAGGCATAATTTAAACACAAACTTGATTACTTACAACATAAAACTGATTTTCCAAGTTGTGGCTGACGTAAACTTGCTTCCATTCCTCCACATCCTTCTTGCGTCGGCTGCAGCTTTTCTCTTCCTTAAAAAAAAAAAAAGAAGTTCGTTGGGAGGATCGGACATTTTGTTAACGCTTCTCGAAATTACTTTAAAAGTGGTGTTTTTGCAGATGTCTTTCATCTGGCATTTCCTCTCGCGGGACATGGCCGGCTTTCCGTTTTCCTTGTGACATGCGGACCACTGGGACCACTCCGAGTAGAGGAAGGACAAGTTTTTGTTCAATTGGACCCTCGCGTCCTTACAAGATCCTAAAACCTGACTTTTGTAAGTTCCTTGGCACATTTAAGTGTTAAATCTCGCTGAATCTCTTACCAAATCGACAAATCGGGTCGAATCCGGTCGTCTGGTTCATTCCGTAACGTACCTGTTAAAAAAAAATAAAAAATCAAACAATAAAATAAAAAGTTTGCTATAAGCGATCAAAACATACTATAAATCGATTGCCCATTTCATTTTCCTGCATCGTCCCGACGAACAGCGTTGGAATAAGTAATAAATTCAAAATTTTCAGTTTAGCAGTTAACATTGTAGGCTTCTAATCCTGAAAGAAAACCGTGAAATTAATTCGGCAAATAAAACTGCCAAGGCCATAAAAATGTCATGTCTGCTGTCCCAAATATATTGTAAACTTGACCTTTTGTATTAAAATTTATTTAAACTTTGACAAAAGTGAACCAATCAGGTTTTCTATGTGGGATGTGTCTATGATGAGCTTGGTCGAGCTCGGCCCGGGTAATTTTAAAAATAAAGTCTTTAAAGCCGAACCCGATCCCGGGTGTAAAACCTCTTTGAAGGTGTAAAAAGTGAAAACTTGGCCCGGGGCTCGCTCGACTGGACTAACTAAATTATTCCATTTGTAGAAAAGCAAATGAGACGAAAACTCCAAGGGGCGTTTAAAAAGGTAATTGCTCCCCTTTTTGCCCCCTTTCCGAATTGTCGCCCTCCGGAACAAAACATTTTGCACTTAAGTCGGTTTATTTACCTCGTCCCGCGGGGGTTGGGATGCAGATCGGACGAGGACCGGACGAACGATTCCAACTGGAAAACTGGGTCACCCGATATTCGATATCTTCCTTAATTAATCCATTTCCAATACTTTTGACACCCTATCTACATATTACATCATAATTATTACGTAGTACTTCGTTAAAAGCGATATTAATGAGTATGCTTAATTCACACAATTTAATATTTATAACAACCCATGTATTTAATAATCATAATGGACCGTTTTAATTATTTGGATTAATTATACTTTTTATCTAAGGTCTTGGTTGAGATGAAAAAGCTAGTGTCACGAGCGGGGTCATCTCAACCAAGACCTTAGGTAAAAAGTATAATTAAATTAAACATTATGATTATATGGAGTACTTACTTCGCTGACGGCACCCTTGGCCACTTCATTTATCATCGAGAATCCAATCTGGATTACACGGTATTCGAAAATATGGCAAAAGTTGGAAAATTCAAAAGATTGCAGGATGAGAGGAAGAGTTTGGCGTCCGAGTGGATCGAATTCACGACAGGTCATTCAAGTGGTTAGGGCAGCCGCGTATTGAGCCGAAGGTCGTGGGTTCGAATCCTGCTCGTTACACTAGTTTTTTCGTTTCAACCAAGACCTTAGATAAAAAGTGTAACTAATTTAAAACAACGTGGAAAAATATTATGTTTTATGGATTTTTATATTACCAATTTTTTAAATGGAAATTTAAATTTTTGTGTGTGTATAATATATTTTATATAATATTGTTTTTTAATGAAGGCTGTGACCTTATTGATCATTAAGCCTTGAGTCTATACAAATCAATGGTGCAGCCCGGCCCCATCAGAGTGAAGCGCCCGCAAACCCCGGCGCAGTGGCAGCACCAGGCTTGGAAAGAACGGAACCCCACGGATCTCTCGCAACTGATGCTTTTAATCTTAATATTGTGCGCAGAGCTTTATCGAGAGGGGGGTCGGTGCCTAGTCACCAAGCTCGCTGGAGATTTCTTGATCTCAGAGTCCGGGGAGGCACCCCTCAATCCTGCAGAGGAAATAAAAATTGAGGGGATGAGATATTAAATTTTATCTATTAGTTGGATGTCTACACAAATACACATAAACACAGAAACATGATAGTCTACCCCAGAGTACTCGATATCCTCGGAGTAATTGAAAATAAATCCTTCCATTCACGCTAATAAATTGCGTATACATAGCACAAATCATACGCACTACCCCGAGATATTCCTCGGAGTATTTGGGTTACCTCTTCATTCACGCTAATAAATTACATTCACACATTCTTCACTCTACCCCAGATTACTCGATATTCCTCGGAGTAATTGGAGATTAGCTACCTTTCACGCTAATAAATTTCACTCACACATTCAATCATACTACCCCAGATTACTCGATATTCCTCGGAGTAATTGAAAATAAATCCTTCCATTCACGCTAATAAATTACGTATATCAGCACAAATCATTCCCACTACCTCAGAGTTCTGGATATGCCTCGGGGTATTTGGGGGATAAGCCCCTCCATTCACGCAAATAAATACATTCCAATAAATAACATATATCACATAAAGACACAAAGATCCTATATACAATTAAAAATATTTATGGCCCTGAGATATTGGAACAGCGATCTGTGCCTACTGCCGTGCCTCATGACCGCGCATAGGTCATCGGGATGTATTTTTTTCTTTGCTGACTTAATTCTTTGCAATCGGTTATGTTCTACCGTGATAAGCTCTCCACACAACTGACACCTACGCGGCTCACCCCCATTCGAAGGGGTCCGTGTGTAATCTTCGTATGACCTTTGGTTAAGCTGGTATGACCTTTCATTTCTAGATCCAGCCTCCGCAGGCCACAGTGTTAACAACCATTTTGAATCGATTGTACATCAGAGTCTCGTACAAAAATTAATAATAATTATCATTTAATGCCAAAATGAAAAGTATGAAAGGAAGATTGATTTTAGGGGAAATAATTAGTTATGCTAAGATCGGCAGTAATAATTGAGTTTAAGAGGATCCGAAGGAGGTCAACTGACACATTAGACTATAGTTATGCTAAGCTTTCAATCAGCTGATGATGGCATAATATACGTTGAAAGCTTGACATAAAGTTACTTTAGTCTAGTGTATCCTCAAAACTCAATGCTTTAGGATAAACAAACTTAAAATCCGAAATATTTAACTTAAAGTTTTTGGAATGCTCATGAAACATGAATAATTTATTGATTAATATTTTGATAAGCTGATAATAAAGTGTTTTTGGACGGAAGCTATTTGAGTGTTTGGTACTTCGTTGCTTTATATTGCAAGCTGATAGTTTTTATAAGAGTGAGTGTATAAAAAAAAGTAAGTCCATTAAAATAACACGCGCGAAGAAAGTAGCACTTAAAATAAATGTGCGATGGGAGTGCTGGATATCTTTGAAGTATTTATTTTAACTGATAAGGTCGAAGGTTAAAGGTCGGCGGTTGGAGCGTCACCTTTCTACCCCCGTTACAGTTGGACGCTGTAGTTTATTTTTATCCGGAGGAAGCCGGGATAATTTATTCGTTTAGTAACACCGTCGAATGGCATTAGTTGGACTAATGGAAGGGAGAAGTTTTCCGTAAAAGTACGGCGAGCGGCGCGACCCGCGTCTGGGTCAATGGGGTACACCGTCGGAGGCGGAGGCGGAGGCCGCATATTTAAATCGATTCCGATCCTCTCTCCTCCCGGCCTGCTTAATGGCATCGCTTTTTCACCCGAACGGGCTTCGTTTTTTTAATTTGATTTATTTCCGAAATTCTCACGAATTATAATTGCAATAATAATAATAAACCCAGGGGGTTGAGTTGTAAACTATTAATCTCGCTTATCTCTCTTCTGTTTTTTCTTTCTCACTTTTTGTCTATCTTTTGCTAATGTAAAAATGAATTTTACTCGAAAATGTAATTTTTCCATATAAGGGTGTATCAAACTTCTACAGTCCACCCACTACATTTTATTTGATGAATTTTTATTAGAGGAAGAATAACTGAGTTATTTTTTTAGAATCTTATACGAAAACATTATGAAATTTTTCGTTTTTCGTATTATTTTTCAGTTCAATGTCTTTGTTTAATTAAATTCTTATTAAAAGAAAATAAATGTCTTATTTCTATAGTGTATACTTGTAGACACTCCATGAAAGTGACCTTGCTATCTTATTTTCCATTTCTGGGACTAGATATGAAAATTTGTCTCGTGAGATTTTTTTATCACCAATATACAACCAAATATGAATGAATGAAAACTTTATTTACACAAAAGTATATACAAAAAATTTACATTTCGAAAAGCTAATCGACAATGGCCTTAGCCGTTTGTCGAGTTGCTTTATAAATTTATATACCTATTTTTGTAACTTGAGAATGACCTTTGATTTTAAAAATTGAAGTGGTTAATCAGGTACCGAAGGTGACGTACACCACAAGCTTCCTCTAGTTATCCCTTCCGTTAAGGATTGCAATAACTTCTTCTTCATCCAGCTTCAGTTTCCCAAAGTACCTTCGGCGAAACTCTCTCCGAACGGGGTACACTCCCATGAAGTGGAGAGTGTCCTCTAGGACGTTGAAGTTATGTAAGGAACAAATGATGGCACGATCCTGTCTCTACGGTTGGCAGTTCAGCTGAAGCAATTCACCCCTCGCACTCAATACCAGAGACACATCATAGGCTGTCATATTAGAGCACTCCATGTAGTTTCGCCCTAAGTCAAACTCCAGTCTTGCGTACAAGTTGTGCTGTAAGCTGTTTCTCTCACGGGTTACCAGATCTTTCCTTTTGCTTGCCTCCCACTTTTTACAATCAAATACAGGGTGTATCAACTTCTATAGTCCACCCATTTAATTCGGAAATGATTAACTTTAGCAAAAAATGGTCTTATACAAACCCCAAATTAATTTTGACAAGGAATCGCGTCGTGGTAACAGATTTAATTTAATTTTCTCATCTAGCTAGGAAATGACCCTAACGTTATTATTTAAAAAAAAATCTCATATTTTTAGTGTACATTTCGATTCTAGGGCTTAATTTTATGTCACTTTTATTGAAAGGAAAATTTTTGATAAGATCGACCATTTCTGAGTTATGCCCGATGGAAGACGCCTGAGGGGGTATGTTTTTTGTAACAACAAAATGGCCCTCCCCGTTTATTTCGAAAACGATTAGCATCAGCAAGTTAATTTAGGATAGGATCGTCTCAGAATAGGGTAGAGATCATGGGGTTGCTTTTACGCTTAGCTTATATTCATTTTTGAAAAAAAAGAGAATTATTTTTACAAAAAAGGATCTTTTTTATCATCATCGAATTCATTTTATTTCTAAAATGACTCTCAGCTGTTATTATGTTGTTGCAGATTAAAATTTATATTTATTATAAATGCTCAAATACGCTCCCTGCGTTTGATGCGTAGAGTTCCGCTTGTTTCAGGAATTATCCATTTGTCCTTTTCTATTATTTCTGGCCGGATTTCTCTACAAGCCATAACGATCCGTTATTCCAATTCTTGGAAAGT